GTTTTTGATAGCCTTTAATGCAAAGGAGAGAAACTCGAGTTTCCTATTTTAGGGGGAGCTTTTTTCACTTTTCTTTTAATCCAACGTTGGCCACCATTGGTGATTTAATAATAAATTATGTTTGAAGTATTTTACTGGTTTCCATCTTGCATAAGTTAATTTATTGATTGACGCCTTATTTTTGGGCGCATAAGCAATTTTTAAATTCATATATTTTGCGATTTTTCTATATTTACACAATAATATAGGCAGCATTGAAACTTAGAAAAATTCAATAACTTATTTTCTTTCTATGATTTTTAATATTTTATTAGTTTCATTCAAAACTCCATTGAATTTTTCTTTCATGTAATCCTTATTTTATTACTTTAATATTTATTCTTAAGTAGATTTTTTTGTAACTTTTAAGCTCCCTCATTACAGTTGTCACCATCACCGTCAGTAGGTTTTTAAATGAAAGCGCAATCCATCTCACTTTTCATGCCTTCAGTGCAAATCTCGCAACAAATAACCGCTACCAACCCCCAACATCTAGTACTTGTCGTAATTGAGTCTTCGCTGTCGTGTGTGCACAAGTGTCGCAACAGCTCGTAATTAAATTTAATTAACGAAATCTGCACAAAATCTCTACTGTTCAGCATCACCGGGGGGCTCAAAAGAGAGGAAGCGGCGGTCCCCTTCTCGACTGCTGCAAGTTGTATTATCCGAGGCGGCGTGAGTTATGATAATCTTGCCGGCATAATATAGTGGTTTCGACTGCTTCTTCCCGCAGGTGCTTCGTCCCCTCGTTGCCTTACATCATTATTAATAATAATAATAATACCAGCAACAACAAACGAGGAGGCGAATTTTTGGGAGCTCAAGTCCCCAGCCGCAGGAGAGAGACTTTTCCATCAAAGGAGATATTGGATTAAACGTCTTAATGCCTCTTATAATAATAATAACTCACTCGGGGGTGGCGAAGTGTTTGATTTTACGGCCGCCGGAAATTATTCAAGAGGCGATATTATAATGGGTCGTGTGCATAAAAAGGCAAGCGGTTGCTTTTACGGCCGCGAATAAAATCAATTTGTCGATGTGCACTCTGGAGCGATTTTTATCGCCGACCAGACATATGGGCGAGCAGTTTGAGGATTTCTTGCTCCGCTGCCACTGGAATAAGGAACAACCCCTTTCTTTTTATTACATGGCCGCATGCGTGTGCTGGAAAATAGCAGTGTTTTTCACACTCGACGGCCATAATAAAAGTGGTGGCCGACAGCTTTTGCTGCCAAGAGTACTTTTGGCTTTTCTAACTTGTTGGATTTATGAAGCGCCTCTCTTGAATTCATTAAAAACCAGTTGGAATTTACGAGAGATAATCTAGCTTGTCCTTAAAAAAAGAGTTTTCCTCCTTAAGAAGAAATTTCAATTTTGAACCCATCTAAATCACAGGAAGCCCCACCATATTGCCTCTTCGAAATCCAACCCTCTGCGAAACTGATTTCGCGAGACGCAATTTCATACATTTCTTCTTCCCATCCGAGGATTCTATTACGGTCGACGATTGTGTTGACTCAGCGTGCTCGGCGCGCGATTTCCATCCGGCTGATACACTTATGCAGCGCCCAAGGGTGAGCCTAAACCCCGACCGCAGATTTTTCTTCCTGGCCGATGCACTAAAAGCACCCCTGTCGTTTTAATATTTTTAAAAGCCGTAGGTGCACACATGCATTGTGGCAGATGCTGCAGTTCTTCGTTTTTCACCCGACCCTTGAAATGACACGCAAAATTTATTCAAGGCTTAAAATTTTATGACCACCGAATCGCAGCCGGTCGATATTTGCGGCGGCGACCAGCGCAAAATAATTGAAATGGCACGCAGCGACGGTCTCGTTCTCGTTCGCAGCATTTAAATGGGCACGGTCCGCATCCCTTATGCCTCAAATTGTGAAGGGGAGTGCATAAATGAACACTTGTCAATGTTCTGTTTACAGAAAAATTTAATTAAATAATCAAGATTAATTTTGTTAACACATTTTTGTAAACATTAATATTTAGTTTTAAAATAGTTAAATTAATAATTTATGGAATTTAATCTCAAATAAATTTAATTTTTAATTTTTATCATTACAATATTGAAATAATAATTCTTCAATATAGATCAGAATAAGTTCAAGCTATGCTAATAATTTTACCTCACGCATAATAATATTTAAAGTATCTTTCGCAATAAAATCGTAAAATTAGAAAAGAATAGAGATTTTATCACTTCGTACGCATGAGACATAATCCTTATAATGTTCTATGTTTGATATGAATTTTTTTATGATTGAATTAATGAAATAGGCATCTGCATTACTTCACAAACATAATTTAAATAATGTAATTAGTAACCTACTCTTTAATTGAATAACAGCATATCAATTTGAAGTGATTAAAAATTAGCAATTCTTGTGCTTTTTTCTCACTGCCCTTCCTTCAGCAAAACGGCCACCTGCACCCCATTAAATTTGTGCTCGGCTCGGTTCCTTTGCCGGGGGTGGCAAATAGCGCATACATCGCACCCCATTACACTGGCACGAGGGTGCAACGACCGGTCAGCGTAGGCAAGATCTCGCCAATAACGGCGCCCTCAAATGCGAACATAAGGGACGTGCCCCGCCGGTTGCATAACTGCTAGTTGAATTCAAATTAAAAGGAAATCTCCTGTCCGTCCGCAATTTTATTGCGGACGATTAATGAAAATCCGGCAAATGAAATAGCGCACCCAGTAACAAAATTGCAGATAAATTCCATTTGTGAGCGTTAATTGCAAGCAATTGAAGACTTGCTTTTTATTCAAGCGATTCAAGGTGTTTAATTCCGCCACTGTTATTATTTCCATTCAAACTGATTTTACACGAAGTTTTAGCATTTTACATTTTACTTTGTCAAATGGTTTTTTATCAATTTAAAAATGGAAATGAATTTAATTTAATTCTTATGTTCAATTACATTTCCCAAAAAAACTCTATTTATTTTTTAAAGCTTTCTTCCTTCTCTAAAGTTATTGGGCTGCAACTTTTTTCATCTGACGCTTCTAGCACAGTTCAGTACTCCTTATTTTTGGCAACCGCAACACAGCTAGTCTCTTATCTGAACGATTTCTTGTATTATCGGACGGTGGTGGAGCAGAAAAATGTTATTTATCGCTTCAAGTTGTGCGACCGCAAAAAGGGTTTTCGGCGTTACTCACCCACGACAAAAAATCTCCACCATAACGGAGAAAAATTTCTGCGCAAATTTACAAAGGATGGCGACGAAAAAAGGAGTGTTTGGCCGTTATGAAAAAGGAGGAGAAGAAGTGCTCCTTTTATTTGTTGTTGGCGGTTAGGAGGCACGCGAGCAATTTTATTATATCCTGGAATAAAATGAAATAAGAGGCGACGAAAAGAGGCTGCCAGATAAAAGAAGGGCGAGAGGCAGAAAAGCAAACTCCCTTGGAAGAAGCCCTGCGGGCGGAAAGGTCGCCGCTCAAAGTGGAAAAATGACCTTTGGAAATTCTTTCGTTGGGGGTCTCACGTCGGTTTTCCGATCTGATAGACAGGCATTGTGCGCGTGAAAATGGAGAAATCCCAATACAACACAATTACATGGAAAGTAATCGATTCGGTTTCTTTTCCGGTAGGGGACATAAAATATGGTGTGGCTGCCGGAGAAATAAATTTGGAAAGCGTCTTATCCATATTTTACGAAGCAATTTTAAACTTTTAGGCCATACTCAATAATGCATGAATTTTTATTGAAAAATTCTGTCCGTATTTCTTTCTCTCCCGAGCCGGAAAGTTTCCTCTTGGTTTTCCTCCCCTGCTTGTGTGCTTGTACTTGTGCGTAAAATCTCTCCCTGTCCTGGCTAAACTATTTTACGTCTCTCTCTATACAGTATTAAAGAGATAGACTGACTCGCAGTCTCTTGCTGCACTTTTCACGGCCACATTTTGTAGGAAAAGAGGAGTCTGGAGACAGAGATCCCTCTGTGGTATATTCTTGCCCCTTGTCACATATAAATTTTTTTCAATGCCCAAACTCAAGCTGTAGTTTTCTAAAATAGTTTTTTTTTTTAAATACCGAAAATTCTTTTGCTAGATTTTAATATTTAAAAAATTAAAATTATTATCAATTAAAATACTGAATTTTTGCTTGTTAAAAAAATTATTCAAAGGGCTCTAGGCAATTATTGCACACTTGAACGCCTGCCTCTGCAGTAGTTATGCAACCGTTCCAGCTCAGCAGTTCACCCGGTCGCCTACACTTAGTTATGTTTCTCTGACTCGAGCGTGGGTCAATTTTACGGCGGGGCTTCTCTGCTTCCCCAACACCAGGAGGGCAAAGTTTAAAAGCAAACAAAGTCTGCCCTTCGCTTGGGTTCTGTATCGAGATTATCCGCTCATTGTTTTGATAATGGCTCCCCTTTTAGATCTTAATTAAGAGTCGATGCGGTGGCAGATGCTGCAGACTGCCGAGCCAATAGCTGCCGGGCGCGAATCGCGAAAAGGAAACACAGACGCAGGGGTGCTGATCACTTGGCAATAAATTCGGAGGGAAACCCGACGCCAAGCGAGCAGAGTCAATGTTGTATGACGGAACGGGAAGAACCACTGTGTAGTTTGCACTCCATTTGTAGATTTTGTCAGAATTGGCGGAGAATGGGGGAATTGATAAGGAAGAGCATCCATCACTCCAAGTGTTGAGGGTGAATAATGAAAGTCCAAGCCGATTATGGTGGAAAAATTGAGTGCTTTGAATTGAATCAGGGGCGCAGCAATGAATCATAAAATTTAACTTTGAGATTTAAATTAATAATTTAAAATTTGTTGAAAATATAATAATTTAATTTATATATTTAAAATGTGGCATAAATAAGTTGTGGTTATAATTTATGATGATAAGGGAATAAAATTTGCAAATGATTTACATAATTATATAATCAAAGATGATGTTTTATATGTATTTAATTTTGTTTTTGTTCTGTTTCACAGCTGCTGAACTCGCTGGCAAGTGATCTTGACTTGATGCTCAGTGATTTGTGCACCACCCCTCCGCCACCTGATGATGCAGAGTCAAGACAGCCCCTTCTCGGCCGGGATTTGAACGAGAGCGAGGGATCGCTGGAGGACGTCAGGTAGGATCTGCATTATTGCTTTTTTTCTCCCTCTCGAAACGCGCTGCGTAAACTCCACGTTGTTTGAAATTCAAAACGACAAACTTTGCGTCCGTAAAAGTTGAGTAAAAATATACGAATCTCCTCTTTGGAACGAAAAACGTAATTATCCGGAAAACAAAGAAGACAATAAAAAGTTTTAAGAGCGCGTTTGCATATTGAAAAGTTGTTTGCCGAGCGCGGATTAGAAAAGACCAATTTGCACCTGGGTCCCTCTCGAACTTTTTGAAAGCCCATTAAATATGCCACGCTATAAATATTTCCAAAAAGCTGCGCGCCGATGAGTAATGGCTTGTTTTTAATACCAGAGTGGCTTCTAATTGAAATTTAAAGCCAGCATACACGAATTTGCTTTGAAAGTTTAACGATTTTCCACTGCAGGAAAAGGAGGACAAAGGTGCGATTGGCACAGGCGAAATTGCTATTCCGCAGACGCGCCGGTCGAGCCGTAAAAACGAGGTGTCCGGCCGCACTCTGTCCCTTGTTCGCCCTGAATAATGCACGGCGGTGGAATATTTATCGGAGTGAGTCAGCCCGGTGCGTCGTCTTATTTTCTCTTCGCACCCAGCCACTGGGGAATCAATTGCATGACAGCTGGTAATCATGTTGTCTGCATCGTTCGCTGCTGCTCGGAACAGTCGGAACGCGGCGGCGAATAATTTATCGCCTCTGCAAACACCACGCTCACCCTCCTTGGGGCAATAATTCTTACAAAATTATGCCACGTGGCATATCTGCGAGGCACCAGATAATCAAGCCCTCTGTTTGTGCCTCCCAGCTTGATTTATTGATTTCTTATTTTTTTTTCTCAAAAAATTTGTGCATATTGTAAGAACAGCAACCACTATGAGCATTTTATAGAGCTGAATAGTACCAATACCAAATAAAGTTTATAATGATTTTAATATTTATTTCGAATAAATGTGCAAATAGGTGAGGGCAAAAAACATAACTTTTGTTCAAGATGGGTGCAATCGTGTGCGAATATGAATATATATATAAATATTTAACATTGTAATATTGATTTAATTAAAAAAAAAACATAGATCAGCATCAATGAAATTTATTTAAATGTTTTAAAAATTGATTGGATATAAATAAAAATTTATTAAATATTATAAAATCTCAAAATTTGTGTTACAGAGAAAAATATTTAAAATTTGAACTAAATTAATTTTTAATACTATTTTTAATAATAATGTGTAAAACTAAATTAATGATTGATTGTAACGATGTGCAATGTTTCAATTAATAATGATTCGATGCTTTATTTGATTTTGCTTTATTTTCTGTATTGACAGAGAAGAATAAATAATAATAATAATTTACAATAATGCAAAATGAAATAATATATGTATATTTATGCTATGCATAGATAATTTAATGTAATGTTGAGATCAGTTGGGATAATGATTACTTACAACATAGTAGTTATGTTTATAGAGATTTAAGTTAGCAATTAATTAAAAATTAAATAGATGAATCCGGGATATTGTCAACTTTAAAATTATGCCCTGCCTTTTATACTATCTCACTAAGGTTGTTTAAACTTTCCCTGAATAAATCGTCGAAGGCAATTTCAGCTAATCGCCCTGCACCATACACCGGCACGCATATAGCTCCTACTTTAAAGGTCCCATACACGCTCTTTTCTCTCTGGTTTTTTATTACGCCCGAAAAATGCAATAAGGAAGCAGCGAATATCAGCATCATGCATGAGGAGCGCGAGACACTTTCGCTCCTCTCTCGTTATTTATTTTTGTCTCGGCTGCTTCAGGAAATTAAATTTCGGCAAAACCGAATGCGATGACACTGAGCACGTTGTTTTGTTCTCTGTGGTGGAGAGAGAAAGCGAGTGCATGCGAAAAGAGACACGCGACTGACTGGAATGACGCAATTACCACGCGAACAGACCGAAAAATAATAATTCAATCTCGCCGGAGAACATACGATCCCCCAGTTCTTCCCTTCCCCTTGTATTTTCTCGCAAGATGTGATATATTTTTATCATCTCGGCGGTGTTTGGGACGAATCTTCCGCTGATGCAGGCGCTGTCACAGAATTGAAATAAGAGCGCTTAATGCGAGCGAGCAGCATGATTTGACGCAAAACTGACGTTTTATTGCTGCGATCGACGTTTTTCCCAGGTGAGCGAGCGCAAGCCATTGTCAAATACGCTGCACTTTGCCAGATTGAATCCAAAATCTGAAAAATCTTATCAAGTGGAGCAGATATATTTTGATGTTTATCCAATAATTGAATTATTAATTTTTAATTGTTTCAAGAAAGTTAAAAAAAAAATTCTTTCAGTGAACTTCAGTATTTCGGAAATTTAATATTACCTGTATTAACAATAATTTGTAATATTATTAGAAGTATACACAAACTTTTAAAATCACAAATTTAATATCCTTTGAAATTGATATTAATTAGTTGCAACTTAAATGTATTGAATTATTGTTTATCTCTGCCCAAATTGAGATACCGCATAAGTATATTCAAAAATTATAAATAATTAAACGCTAAAATTTTTATTATTTTATTACTGTTCAAAATACAGTAATTTTATATTATAATTCATAATTCAAAATGGTTACAAAGTAGATATTATTAGAACTTACGTCAAATTTTGATTGCAAAATGAAATATTTGTATAAAAAATCAACACGTATTTGGTGCATAAATTGGTTATTTCAATCGTCACCCAGCAACCAAAGGAAAGTCGCTCCAGTCACTTGGTTTGTGTCACTATTGAACGACGTCACTGTCACTGAAATCATTAATTAAATTCAAGAAAAAAATAATAATCAAGTGGAATCGAGATCGAGTCGCGAACATGTGTGTGTACTTTTCTCGTGCATTTGCATAATTAGCCTTTACATGGCTCGTTGACGGAGTGATTCAACACGTTTTTCTTTTCACCCGCCGCCGTCAAGACAACAACCGGTAATTTACGAGCGAGTGGAAAGCGATGGCGCCGCCACTAATCCAATCGACGCCGACCGGCCGTGAACCAAATAAACAAAAAGCAGACGGCCGAAAAAAAAATAATTGCAATTCTTGTGCTATCTTCATTTTATTCATAAAGCGGCCCCTCGATCTCCGTGCGTCCTGCTCAAGTGGACTTGACCTCTGACAGGTACTCGATTAGTCTTTGCTTGAGGTCAATTGTGAAATGCCAAGTGCGGTCTCTTGACAAATTGAAAAGACACCAGCTCGCCAATTGGCCACTCAGACTCTGGGTCAGGCCATCTCTCGTTCAATTCAATTAAACGTAATTTTGTTTTTGTTAGAAGGCAGCAGCATAAATTTTTTATTGTTTGAAAAAAAATTCAAACTGATTGTCCGATTTTTTTATTGTTCTATGTATCTTTGAAATTATATATAGTCTCAGCCGGGAGTTTATCCTAGCTCGATCTGTAATGAAGTAACTTTATCTCGACGGCACAAAGACAAAGCGAGTTGGCACCTCTTCCAACTCGACTCCTCTCACGGACGGACGCACATCGATATTTTTCGCTCTCTCGCCGAGCAAATTGCTCCCCCAAGGCAGATTCAAACCCTTGCCGAGGATGATGAAAAACATCAAAGTCGTAATACAATTACAACTTTCAGCGGCAGTTAGCGTTAAAAATTATCGCCTCAACTGGCTGTAAACTTCGCGGGCTGTTCCCTCTCATTTGTTGTTCCGCTCAAGACGCGATCGAGGCAGCAAGGTGGAAAAGTGGCGCGACTCGGCAGCAGACAATTTGACTTCAAAGGGTGACAGCTTGGCAAGAAGATGAAAATTCGATTAAATATTAGTAGATTGGTGAATAAAATCTTAAAAGTAAATCCTACAATCTTTTAAAGCCCTAAAAAAATAGAGGAAAGCAAAATAACTCAATTTAAAATTACTTATAAATAGAAAAAAAAACGTCAGGCTATAATTTGCAAGTTTACAAAAATTAAGTTGGAACGAAACAAAATCAAAGACAATATGAGTTTGACATCTGGTTAGAATTGTGTTTGCTCATCGCTGTGGTAATCACCAACCTTACCAACATCATAATAAATAGAGAGCTTTATTATTATCATTGTCTATGTATTTATGTTTGAACAAACATTTGCATGATGAGGTCGATGGATATTATGGATATTATTATAGGCATCGTGCAGCAGACGTGTGTTTGTTGCACCGCCGCCGCCGCCGCCAAGCGATTAATTATACAAAACATAGTTGGCTCGCGCAAATGTAGCGCGTAATGAAAGTGCAAAACGCTGTTTACTCCGGGAAATTGCACGCCGCTCTTTCTCTGCGCAGAGGAAAGAATTATGTTTTTGCCCCTGAGCGGCAAAAAGTTGGCGGAGCTGAAGCCGTGTTGAAAATGAAATTGCAACGTGAAATTTTATTCTCTCGCTTTTTGCAAACATTTCATAGCACCACTTAATTATTTACTATTTTTACTAATTTTGTATATGTTGTTATATAACGAAGAGGAAATTTTAGAAAACTTGGAAAGTTTTTGAACCATTATAAAAAGTCAATTTTAAAACTTTTAATGCTGATAACGTTTTAACCCTTTAATATTTCGTGCGTGATTCTCCAAATTTTCTTTTATTTCCCTTTTAAAATTATTTGCAGTCTTGACTTCTGAGCTAAAGAGTTAAAACTTTTCACGCTTCCAACTGCGCAATGGAACGTATTAAGCCCACTTGGTTGTAAATCGAAATCGTAATTCATCGTAAGCGACCATGAACTCATGCATCGCCGCTTTGAATTGGAAGGAGCAAAATATCACCCTTTTGATTCGCCTGAATCTAAATGTCGTTGGAATTCCAAGAGGCCTTGATTGTGCGCCAGCAGTTGTGGAGAGAGAGAGAGAGAAAGATGTATTCGAATTATTCACAGCCAGCTGGAGCTTCGAGTGGTGCACCTTTCATTGTCAAGAGCGCTTACTTATTAGCAAGTGAGACATGTACGCAGCCGAGCGGCTGCTGAATAATTCTGCGAAGTGCGCACTTCGCAGCTGTGCCTGTTTGTCGTTGCGTAATTTGCATGAGAAACTTTCAGGTCCAGGCATACATACGAGATCCGCCAACTTGATTTTGGGTCATTTTATAATAATGTAATATGATTCGTCTCGATCCAGCGAAACGTGAATAAGAAGCAAACAGAGGCAATTTGGCTTGCGTCTTGATATGAAAGAAAGGCTTTATGCACTCAATGTTGTCTCTCTGGCGTGCAGCGAAGAGTGAAATACGATAAGATAATGACGAGCTTTATGAATGTGAGCTTCTACAGCGGCTTAAAGTATTCTATACATTGTGTATTACCAGCTGTAAGTGAAACACAGAATTTTGATTAAATCTGCAGCACTGACTGAGATAAAAGCGCGCAAAACAAGACTTAAATTTCCTGGAAGTAGAAATTTTCTAATCTTTAGATCTGACAATTAATTTTATATCTCCAAAAAGTCATAGAAAAACTGACAATCAAACGATTCTTTTATTGACATGGTTATTTGTTTTACTACATGAAAATCTACTCGACTTTAAAAGAGCAATTCGATTAACCCTCGGCAGCAGCAAGATTTCCCATTTCGTCCGTCAACGACGAGCCCAGCTGCTGTCGATGAGTAACTAGGCCGAGTTGGACTTTCCTCGGTCCACGCGGAGTGTGTGGGCCGACGAAGGAATTATTTCTGGGCGCCAAAGACCTCAAACGGACGTCACTTCATCCTCTTGAAAGAGTCGACCCGCGCTGTGTGTGTCGCTGCAGTTGTGTGCTGCTAAAATTAAATCGTGAAGAAGAAGAAAGACGAAGCAGCGCGCGCTTCGTTAGTCGCTCGAGCCTCTAGCGAGAAGAGTGCTCAGTTTGTGGTGCTCTTGACTTGCAAATAAACAACCGTGCCCCAGTGACCAAAGTTTATCGCTGTTTGCTGGAGAAGAGTGTGATTGTTTTCTTACGGACGAGTTGCGTAAGGTGCGTTGGAGGTTCATTCTGGGTGTTTTCCCCACAATTTCAACAAAAAACAAACGCATTTAAAAGTTGTGATTTTTTTATTTTAATTAAAAATAAATATAATAATTTGTTTAATCTTATAAATTGTTGAATATATATTTAAAAAAAATATGTGACCTGATTTTGAACAAAATATATCAGATTTTCTGACCAAGAATGCGATTATTCAGCTTTTGAAATCTGGCAGACGTTTTTATTGTCCCTCTAATGGATTTTAAATGCCCACGATAATTTAGAAACCCATGATCTCCGATTTTATTTCAACGCAAGCGATCCACCTCGGGATGAGAAACAAGTTGCTGCTGAATTATGAAACGGTGTGATTTACCGGCTGTAGGTGTGGTGCACATTGTGCAGAGTGCATGAAGCGGGCCGCGAGTGCATCACCAGAGAGGAGCTGCGATTGTTCTCGGCAATGCCAACATGAGCAGTGTCAGCAGTGGAAAACGAGTGGTGTTCCGCGAGGTGCAGCAGCCCCGCAGACGCACCAGGGCCGACTTTCAGGTGCAAAAGGGCAAAAAGGTGTGCTGTTGTTGCTGCTGCTACACCAAGAAGTCCAACTCCTCCTCCACGTACAAGCTGTCAAAGACAAAGAAAAATAGCGAGGGACAAGTTGCGAGTAAAAAATCTAAAAAGTAAGTTTGGCTTTCTGTTTTTCTCCTTTTTTATCTGATTATTTACTTTAAACTATGTAGTATATTTTTTAATCAAAAATTTTAAAATGGACTCATTTTTAATTTATGCTTGTGTAGAGAAAAAATGTATTTTTACGTAAACGAGAGAACAGTCACAAAAGAGCGGCACCTTCATGCTCATTATGCGCGCCGGCTTATTTACAGAACAAACATCTCTCGCTCGGAGCGCCGCGTCGTTTTAATTAGCCGGTTGAAAAGAGCGAAAAACTCGAGCTCGAGCAGCGTGAAAAACGCAGAAAGTGTGCTGTGGGTGCAAAAAGAGCGAGATTAAAATATAGGAGCGTAAAGTTTGTGCACAGCACACGCTTCGGCGAGTGGACATACCGACGCGGCGACTAGTGCTGGTGCCCGTTTGGCGAACGCTAAAAGCACCATCATGGGCGGCCGTGGAATTTCCGGTTTCTGATTGAAGTACCATGGATGAGTTCACATGATGTGACCGCTGGTAAATCCGACAAAATCGCCGCTGATGAAAATGAGCCAAACATAAATAGAAGTGTTTTTGTGTGCGTGTCATAAATGGCATTTTTTGCTATTTGGTTAAACGTTGGATATAAGAAATGGAAAATAAAAATCACATTAAAATTTTTAATTAATTATATTGGTTATAAGCAAAAGCACATAAATGATAAGCACCATTACAATATATGCATTATTATGTTTAAATTTAAAAGTGAATAAATATCAGAATAATATCTTTTATTTTCAATTGGAATTTTTTATTTAAAAATTCAAATTAAAACTTTAAATTTAATGTTACTTAATTTGCATCATATAAGTTGGATAAAGGAGTATTTTTTTTTTTAATATTACAAACAATTGTGAATATAGAGGAATTTTTTGTTGGTGAAGATAAATGATAGATTATTTATGACGATAAACTTTTGAATATCTCTCCTAAATTAATTAAAAAAGAAAACAGAAAATTTTGCATTTCATATTATATTATGATTTAAATTTTTGTACATCCTCATAATAAAATAATTTATCTTTTGATGCATGAATAGAGGGACGCATAATTTTTTTCTCTCGGCGCTCTCATTGCGCAATCGCTCTCATTAGGTGCAGGAGGAAAAACGCGATGAAAAGAGAAATTCTCATTACTCTGGAGTGTGACTCACTCCCCTGGAGACGTGTGTGCACATAAAGCAAGGCTTGATAATTGGACTGCACTCTCTCTCTCTCGTCTGTCGCTCTGTCTGCCCGCTGTCACTCGACTGACTTGGAAAAAAAATATGATAATAATCAGATTACTCTTGCTGTGGGTGTCATTGCATCGAGTTCTCTCGCTTTCAACGAGGTGGGGCGCGCGCCTCGACAATTTCATCTTGTGTCGGCGGCACTGCATAATAATTCGCGAATTATCATGCGTAATAAGCGAGAGAGAATGGAAATGAAGCATTGAAAACAGCGAAAAAGAGGGGCGCGTGCTCTCCCGGCGACAGGAAGGAATGCCAAGAGACAAGAGTCTCGTTTTTTATGCAACAATTAATTAGCAGAGCCCGTCTGCAGAGGATCAACTCAGCCTTGAGCCGGGCAATATTTCTTGCAGACGATTTTTCTTGCCAATAGAGTGATGACAATCTTGGAATAAAAATAAACTTAAAAACTAAATCTTTCACTTTGTTAAGTAACTTTATAAAAAAGATTAAAACAACGTTATCAAGTTTTGAAAAATGACAGTATATTTTTTACTATTTATAAAATGAAGTTTGGAAATATATTTATTACTAGTACATAAAACTGTGAAAAAATATTTTAACCTTTTTTAAAATAATGATTTGAAACCAATTATTATTATTTCAGCTGCCCTTTGCCATTAACCAAGATGATAAATGCTCTTTGGCCGTGAAGTGCGCCGCTTTCCCTCTCATTATATTTGTTGTTATTTGCTCAAAACATTACTCTGGCCGGCCGAAAGTCATGATCATTACTCAGCCGGTCTTATTGCTGTTTGCTTAGGATCCATTAGCAGTATTGCACCCTTTGCAGCATCCCCTTGGCTGAGAGAAGGGCGCATTTCTTCTCATTTTCTGCGATATTGCTCTCTCATTTGGCCTACCGCTTTTCTACTCATTATCGACCGATCCTACAAACAAATTGTGTTTGAAAAAGTGCTACGTAACAATTAATGGTAAAAATATTTTTTTTAAATTATTTAAAATCCTTTTGATAATTAAATTTTATACTAATTTAAACTAAAATAAAAATGAATTTTAAAATTACTGATTACTGATTATACATTTTTTATTATGTTTTGTTTTATATTTTGTCTTTGATTACCTAATAACTTCCATTTCTCTGCACAGTAAATTTACTACTTTTTTTAATATTAGACATTTAAAATTTATAATTAACTTATGCTCGCAATCATTATTTATGAAGAAATTGGAAAATAGTTTACTTTTAGTAACTAGCTGGTTGATATTAATTAGTTAAAATATACGAGGAACTGAAGTGAAATGATTTTTTCATGTCTCATGTCATTTCATGGAATCAAATCAATCTTTTCAGGATTCACGATTCCAATACATTCAATTGAGACCTATCTGAAGTCTGTAGCATGTAACAGAATAAAAATATAAGATGAAGAATTTCAGACTTAATTTTTGTGCAGTCAGTCATGAGTCACATTACTGACACTTATTTACTTTTTTTATTAAAACAATAAATTTAAAATTAATATATACTATGCGGGAAAAATTAACGATTCTTAGATCATATAACTACTTTCAATAAGCATGCATATATGGAAAATAACATGAATTTTAAATATTCCAAACCATAATAAGCCACCCCTGTATAGCTCACCGATCCACCGCATTGTTTGCAATTGCAAGCCCATTATTGATATTAATAATGCTCCATCGTGAATAATGCAGATCGCGAGCACATGCCTGCTTAGTTATTGTGGTGCACAGTGCGTTTAGTCCACAGGCTGCTTGCAAACAAAGCGCGATTTCGAGCGTTATGTGCATCGGAGGAACGCTGGTTGGCTCGTTGATGGAGCAGCCAGCGTCAAATAATTAATGGGCGCCGTGCTTATGCTCGGTCGGGGCCGCCGAGGAAACAAAACGCGCTCAGAATTTCAATCGGCATTTGCATCCCTCTCGTTCAATTATTGTGATTAAAGCGCACGGCGTACAATAATAAAACTGCTCCAGCTTTTTTAATTTGCCCATTTCATATTCTGCCTGCATAAAGCGCCTGAATTATGTACGCAGCCAGTTTTATTTTTTAATTCAATATTAGCCCGTTTAATCACGTTCAAAACTGACGGCAGAATTTAATTTCGCTCCTCCCTCGTAGCTCGTAAATTTGACGCTTGATTGATTTTTACACCCGCCCAATGAATTGAAGGGCGCGGTTTTCATTTGATTAGCTTTGCAATTTTCAAATTTGATTTTATGCGCCTCTCATCAAGAGTCTAGACGACGCGCCGAGATTTTATTAAATCGGGCAACGGACTGGGAATAATTGGAGTTGGAACGAAAAATTGTCGCTTGTTTCCATATCGATTGAGTTGTTATTCGTCAAATATGCAAATAGCCGGGCGGCGAAGCATGACTAATGGAGGTCGTGGCTTTTCAATCAGCGTGCGAGAGCCATGTTAATTTTCTCACTGCGCTTGACACTTGAAGATTAATCGCTGTTTGGGCTGCGCTGACCTTTGTTCAGGAAACTCTTTGATGCCTTATTTCAAAGCGCTAATTATCTATTGGTGATCTCAAGGATTTCACGATCTTGGTAAACATTTCCACCCAACCGCGCAATCAGAACACTTTCTTGTAATTAAATATTGACATCGGTGTACTTATTTCAATGGCATAATGATTACAACTTAATATGAAAACAAAAAATTAAATCCTTTTAATCTATTTATACATTTTACTAGTAGCAATTAATAATTTCTCAATTTTTTAAATGCTGTGGCTATTTTATGTAAATTATTAATTTGACTAATTTTAATTATTACTTGTCAATTTTTTTATTGTATAGTAGTGCTATAATATAGTTATTTAAATATACTGATTTTACATAAATTCCAGGGCTCTTCTTTAATCAATCTGTTGATTATAAATATAATCCACTACACATACAAAGAATTGAAATTATGCGAATCTACATGGATCGGGATCGAGGAATAAAAATATATTTAAACAGAGATTATGATTATTTAATTATTAATAAAAGAAATAAAATGCATCAAAATCTGGATTTATTTTTATATTGTGTGAGTTTCCTACACTTGAATCGATTGGGGGGTTTTTTTTTTTTTTTTTTTTTTTTTAAATATAGCGTGATAGCTCTGGCACGACATCAAACAAGTCCGCACAAATGAAATTCCGCGCCGACCACGCAATTTTTATCGAGCACCTCTCGCAAAAAGTCTCTCTTTCTCGCTCACCCCCGGCGAAAACACGAAACCAAACAATTCCCGTGCGCTGTTCATAAAGCCCAACCACAAACAACGCGGTAGCGAAAGGGCGACACGGAGCACTTTTATACCACTCATTGGAAAATTGGCTTTTTGTCCGCGTGCAAAAAGTGCTCTTTTTCAGCGGCGAGTGCATTTGACTGGCGCCGAATTCAAAAAGGTGCGTCGTAAAAAAGCTGTGCTTTTTTATGGAAGTGCATGTCACTGGTCAACGGCGGGGAAATTTTCCGAAATGGCCGCGGGAGATAAATTGTGAGGGGTCTTCTTTGATGACACACAGTCGCGAATAAGTATGAAATGCCACTTTAAGGGCCGCTTGGCAAATAGAGATGAGAGAAGAGACTTTTGTGGGGACAAACACCGGGAACAACTTTGCGATTTTACTGCCAGCGGGGGTGTATTCACGGGGGAGGCAGCAACTTGAAAGGGTTCTGTCTGTCTGTTTTAGGGCCGTGGCCACTCAACCGGACCAAATAATAATGCGCAAAGTGAGTGGCAATGAGAAAGCATGCAATTTGGGCCGTGGCTGCGCTGCTGTGACAGGCCGGCGTCATTAAAATGAAGTGCGGCGTGATAAATGGCGCAAAAGGGTGCAAACTGCGTCTCCAGAAAACGGCTGCACAATTCTCACTGCGATTTTTCTTTCTTTCGTCTCGTCCAAATGTGACAGAAAGTTGATGATAAGAAGTTTTATGAAAGGGAGCAGGGGCTTTGCGGATTAGCGAGAGGAAATGGAATCAAAAGTAGAACTGCAGAAAAAAAAGAGGAAACTTAAAATTTTTGGCATCAGATGGTTTTATAAGTGTCAAGGTTTATTTTATATTTCAAAATCATTTTCAGATTTTAATATTTATAATTTCAGCATATGGTTGAAAGATTGGATTGCTTCCAAAATTGAGCAATTTTTATATCAAACTAGCTGTTTACATGTTTTTTAATGATTAATAAAACCAGTCTGACCGTAAGTCTTTCGATATTTTAGTGTTCTTATTGGTAAGTAAATTATACATTTTTATATTTTTTTTAGTTAACTTTGTTTGATGAGCTTCATAATATATAAACTAGAGCTTTGCATCTTAGTTTTGATCTAGATTTTTTTTTTAATTGACAGAAAAATTAAATACTTCATTCATAAAAGAACATACATTGTTTTCAAAACATTTTTAAAAGTAAAATTTTGACTGACAATTCCTTTTTTAATGATAAGACTGGTATGTAAAGGGCAATTCTTGGAGTGAGATTACGGCCCATTCTGAAATAATTATATGAGTGATAACCGCGCAATTGGCGTCACGTTGGGAATTAATTGCAGCGAAATTGCCTGCCAAGCCCAAAACGTCTCGGCTCGTGACTAATTTGAAACTTTCCTCCGCAGTCAGGAAAAGCAAGTCATTTCTCGCAATCTCTCCTATGATGAAGATTAATGCACCAAACAAAAGTTTATTTATTGAGGCGGGTACGCAGCTTGGCATTAATTTCCCAGCAAGTTTAAAGTTTCATGGAGCCGCGCCTTGGGAAGCGAAGGAACTTTGCAGTGCGTTTTACGAGCCGACGGACCGCCAAAGTGGCAGCAATCTGCACCGTTCGACTGCAACGCCAAGCATGGGTGGAAAACAACAAAAATGCCAGACACCATTCGTGGAAAAGGGAAGGGCTGGTCGAGACTTTCCATAATCCCCAGCGAGCCGTTCTGGCCGAGTATAAAAACGAAAACCAAGCCCGAGCGCAGACTGCAGCCCAA